TATATATATATATATATATATATGATGTATGATAAAATAAGGACTTTTATTTAACATCAATTAGACTAAATTGAACAATTTTCCTATAAGATACATAAAGGATGTAAAGATGTGTAAAGCATTATACATTCTACTACTTTAAAAATTTTACTAAAAATAATCTTTTAGCAGAGTAGCGGATCGAGTGATTAAAATTGTAAATATTTTGTCTCATTTTAAATTAATGTCGATTAATATGAATCTTTAGAACATTTCCAAATTCTACGTGTCATGTTTTTAACAGATGTATTGAATCATATATAGCACAAGAATAATCTCGAATCAATGGGATGTTCATGCTATGAAATCAAAGTGTGATATTCCACATATATGTATTATGTTTGATATTAAGAGCTTATTATCGCAAACGTTTGGTCCTTGTATTGACTTGAATTTTTAATCATTGCAATGAGACAATTCAATCGAAACATGATGACATACCTTTTCGTATATGGCTACTGAGGCTGCATGAAACCTGGCTAGTCCGCGAAGCGCCAATATGGAATGAACTAAGTCGAGACCAGACAGATCGACCATGCGAAAACCGAGAGGCACGAGATCCTCGATCGCCAGAAGCGTTGGGTTTTCATTTTGCACGTATAAACATTTTCCACTTAAACGATATTTTGACGCTAATAACTTATTCATTTTATCCAAGGTATCTAACATCATCGATACCTCGGTATAAAAAAAACCTGTTTGTGTTACCTGTAAAAAGTTTATTTAATTATGATATAAAGATTTATAGAACAAAAAGAAAGTTTGTATGATAGCAAGTTTTGGCTTACTGGATGATAAATAAATAATTTTATCCACAATTAAAATTTGTTTTGAAATGACTGATGAATTTTTTCTCGAAATATATTTGCTTCTTTAAACTTAGGTTATAAAAATAATTTTATCTTTAATTCCTGATTACTTATGTATACTTATACTAATTTTTTTGTTAAGTCAAAAATTATATCAAAATAATAAAACTTGCTGCATTCTTAGCACTTGCATTTTTCTTTTTTTCCCCTTTTTTCTTTTTCTTTTCTTTTTAGTAACATTGTATAAGTTAAATCAACTTACAATATTATATCGAATACTTTCGGATGTTGGCGAAACTTTAACGATTATTGATTTCTTTTCCACAGTCTTATGACCGCTTTGTTCACGCGAAAATT